TTTTTTTTTTTTTTTTTGCTGAGTCAACGTCACTGAAACCGCTCGTGTATTTAGAAGGATTAAGTGCATTCAAAAGCACAAACAAAATAAAGACTATATCTTTACTGGAACATTTTCATTTTATCTCCATCCAGGTGTTGTTAAATGTCACTGTCTGTCTGCTGCAGAGCTGCTACAAGCAACGCTGAGACTTAATGGTGAGTGAGGCAGCCCAGCTGGGGTCATTCTAGCACACGTGCATCGTTTCGCTTGAGTGGACGTCTTAGGAATTGTCTCTGCTGAATCTTTGTCAAGAGCTGTCACCAACGCTGACAGGCGAGTCTTGCCCTTGGCTTTGCTGCTGTTTAGACAGGTGTTTTTGCAAAGAAAACAACTGCAGCCCGTTTCCAGCTTAGACGCTCACAACAGCAGCGTTCCCCCCAAAGACGGAAGGAAAGAATATCACAGTACAGATAATGCCTGAGAAGGGTGAGGCTTTTGACAGATTAGTAAAAGTCAAGGGCGATCTCCATCAGAATGAATTTGTCTGCCTGTTTCTTTGGTTGCTCCATGTGAGTCATTGTGTGTGTTAGTTGGTTTTGGTGTTTGCTCACTCTCCATTTGGGTACACATACCAGGAGTAAACAGACAAACTGTACGACGTATTTGTTGATATTCAGTTAACCACTGTGACACATTAAATTTGCTCACTACTTTGTAGTCTCAGAATAAGTTTTGCTCCATCATAAAACCAAAACATTTCTTGCCTCTGAAGGTCTTTGCCTGAGCTGAGAGCTCAGAGAAAAGTACTCACTTGAATTCAGTGGGCACAAGTCCTGCTTTTTTGTATTTCTCTTTCCTCTTCCTCCCTGTCTGTGTTTCTCATTGCTGAAACTCTGCGATGACAGTCTCGAAAAGCCACACATGACAAGCTGGTAAGAGGGCCATAGTTGTGGGCTGTACTTTTTTTTTGTGTGTGTGGGCAGAACGGAGCCAACACCCTCGTGATTACCCACTCACCCTCTTCCGTTTTCCACCTGTGCAGAGTGCCAGACCCACAGCGTTGAGGGAGTAGGCAGGACTGAGTCAACCCCTCTGATGAGCTCCAGTCCCCCCGGTCCCCACACTGGCTCCTATTCTCTGTCAGAGTGCACTGGGCCAGCCAGCAGCAAGAGGAGTGACAGGCAAAGCAAGGCAGGGCCTGCACTGGGCCAGAGCTGGCATCCAGTTATTCAGACCCCCGAGGTGAGCCAACAGTGCTTAGTTCCCAGGGTACTTCAGACGTTTGCTCTCCTCTGTTGTCTGTGGGTGTCCCTAAGTATGAGTGCGTTGGTAGATTGTGATCTGAGAAGTCTGCATGTCTCGTTTACAGACTGCAGCTTGTGTAGACAGACGGGACTGTCCTGGTAGGTGCCGTGTGTCTGCTCCGGCTGAGAGGCACATGATTTATTTTAGGGGCAAGGATGTGGGCAT